TTGTGCTTGCCACGCAAGCGATTATTCTACTGAGCCATCTCCCCCACCCGGCATTGTGCCTTATACTGTAATAAATTTACAAAATTGTTTAAAATATAATATTTTATCACATTATTTGTTATAGCTACCACAGGAAAAATTTCTCACACACATGCACATAAAATCATGTGAGCATTAAATAAACTGCTCCACATATAAAATTCGAGTCTCTGGATTTAAAAAAAAAAGAGATAAGTCAAGTCATAATTCAGTGCAAAGGCACTTTGTACCACTATTACTTCTGGAAATTGGTTAGCTAATTTTAATTGACTACATTGTATGCTCCTGGGTACTTCATGGCATTTTCAGATGTTCGGATGCTGTGGAATGCCTAAATTAAGGTAAGCAGCACACACATCTCCTCACATACCCATTTTTTTTTATGAGAGAGAGAGAGAGAGAGAGAGAGAGAGAGAGAGAGAGAGAGAGAGAGAGTGTGTGGTGTGTGTGTGTGGCCAGCTCAGCCCACCAGGGGGCGGGGCTGGCTGGCATGTGGTGCTGGAGGATTGAACCGTGGTCCCTGATGCTTTGCTAAGCTTGTTCTAAGTAGGTGCTTTAGACCACTGAGCCATCTCTCCAGCCCTCACATACCCATTTTTCACAGTGGAAACACAAAACCAATTTTCTCTGTGATGTTCAAAAATATAATATGCTATTGTAGTGTTCTTGGGAAAAAAATGAAGGCATTTAGTACCGTGTTTCTGAAATCTGTTCTGTGTGTTTTTAACACTTTTGCTAAGTTGAAGGCTCATTATAAGTTTGTCTGGACCAGATTTAAAGGACACTGGTCACTGGGCAAGTGCTGTTTGTGGACACTGTCTTTTTGAATGTATGCAAGCCAGCTACTCCTTGAAATTCTGGTCACAAGGCCAAGAAGCTAATGTGTGGCCCTGCTATGTTCTCTAATCTGTAAAATACTTCTGCTGGTAATTGGGTGTAGAACAGGGGCCCGGTTGAAATAAGTGCCAATATTACAGCCACTGCTATGGAACACTTGGACTGTTCTCTTCCAAAAGTAAGACCTAACTGCAAAATATTCCTCTCGTGATTTTTCAGGATACTCGTAATATAAAACTACCTCCAAAATAGGCCCCAATTAAGATCATCTGCCGGATAAGGATCACACACAGTCATCTTAAATTATAAAATAATAACATAAATATATAATGAAATATAAACAACATTATTGTTAGTATACTTAAGATAAATAATATAAATTTTATTAAGTATTTGTACATCTCCAAGTAGATGTCTTCTCATGTGAGGTGAACACCTCTATAAACAGGTAAACTCGAGGTTTACTGCTAAATGACCAATCGGAGTACAAATGATTTGTGCATTTGGAAAAAAGATGTGGTTGTGTCTATTGTGGATCTTCATAATTTAATACACTTTAGTGGATGCACTTAATGCACCCATGTGAAACAGAGAGACATTTTCTGCATTTTGGTGCCGGCGTATTTCCCACCTATCATGTGGTCCTGCACTCTTAATTGCCATTATTTTTGTCGCCACTTGATTTAATGAAATCTTTGTGAAGTCCGGCCTGTAACATGTCATGATGTGGGTGAAGGTCACTCACAGCTGAGTCATCAGTGCACTATGAGCAGGCTACATGGACAGAAGTGCTCACGTAAGGAGCCTCTATTGTTCGACATGAAAGCCTGGGACAACTTCTACAGGAAATGGAGTTCAGAGACATTCAGGCCAGAATTCAGGGTATGAAGAGTTACAACAGTGTTCCAGAAAAGCATTCCATGACTGTATTTCAACAAATGTAAATTTTTATACTTGAATAAATGGAGGAATGTGAATTCTTGTACATGAAAAAAATATACAGTTCCAATTTTTGTGCCAGTACTGTGCTGGTTTGATTGCTTATTTTACTTGACCTATTGCCCAGGTTCATCCATGTTGTTGAAAATGACTCTGTTTTCTTATTTTTTAAAAAGCCAAATAATATTCCATTGTTTAGCTATGCTACATTTTCTTCATGTATTCATCATTGATTGACACTGGCTGCTGTGAGCAAAGCTGCAATCAAATGCAGAAATGCAGCATCTGTTGGACATACTGATCTGGCTATATACCCAAAGTGGATTGCTGGCTTCTATGGGAATTCTACTCAACTTTTGGGGAAAAAAAGTGTTTACTGCCTAATACAGGCACACAATGAGATATCGTCATATGACGAGGACTTAGCTCAGGGAAACACACGGGTGCTGGCTGGAGCACTGTGTAAGAACATAAACAGGAGATAACCTGTGTAAGAATCACACCACAAGGATACAGGCAGCACTCTGGCTCTTGTGCTCTGGCTCTCTGCCCTGCCCTACACTGCCTCCTGTTGCTGATGCCTTGAACTTGTGTGTTCGTTAACCTTGGAACCTCACCCTCAAAAATCTCTCTTGAGCCCCTTGAGCAAGCTGGCATATGTATTTGGGCCTAAGGCTTCTAAAACAATATACAAAAATCATCAGTGACCTCTATATTGCTAAATCTGAACTGCATTTCTCTACTTTTATCTTAGCTTTCCTACATTAAATTTTTGATTTTTCAATTTCAAATATACAAATGCAGAGCGAACATTACAAATAACCCCATATAACCTTCATTCAGATTCATAAATTGTTATTGCATTAATTCACCACACACATACACACACATTTGCACAATATGTCTACTTATTTGAGAGTAAGTTGCAGATATTTTCCTTCCTTCCTCTTAATTAGTGCCTAAGAATAAGCAGATTCCCCTACACAGCCATAAATGCAATATTAAAAGTCAGGAAGTTTAACATTGATAACATTATTATCCAATGGTTATTATTCAAAACTTGCAAATAATGTTCTTTACAGAATTTATTTTTCCTGATCCAGGATCAAATCCAGCATCATGAACTACCTTCAGCTTTTACATTTCTTTAGCATCCTGTAATTTTGATCAGCTCCCTAACCTTTCTCTTGCTTATTATGATACTGACATTTTTAAATTGTGGGGGCCAGCTATTTTGTAGAAGGTATCTCAAATTATGCGTGTTTGTTGCCTCTTTGTGATTACATTCTGTTTCTACATGAGAGGGAAGTGATGTGTGATGGTGGATCCTGGTAGGCATTTGATTAGCTTGAGAGCCACCTAGGGGATTGGCAAGGTACACTCCTGAGTGCATCTGGTGGTGTCACCTTCAGTGCAGTCTCTGCTCTCTGCCCTCTTCCTCTCTGGCATCCCTCCCTTGTCTACTGCTTGCCAGCTGTCACAAAGTGAGCACTTTGGCTTGCTATGCCCTTTCACCACAATATTTCTACCCTGGAACTAGCCAACCATGAGCTGAAACCTCTCAGACTATGAGTCAAGATAAACCTCAACTCCTTTGAGTTTTGGGTATTAAGTATTTTGTCCTTGCAAGAGGAAAACGAACTGTTAAAGCATGCCATAAATTCTTTATCATTGTCACTATATCACCTTAGGAGGAAAACATGATATCAGTTGAATTACTGGAGAACATTACTTTTATATACTTGTTTACTGTTTTATCTCTTCATGCTAATATCTGTGCTCTTTAGATATAGGTCATTCAATTATTTTTGTTTTAGCATCTTCTTGTTTAGCAAGATATTCCAGACTTAGAAATGTACCCTGTCCTATGGGCTGGCCAGATAGCTCAGCAGACTAAAGCTCCTGCTTAGGCAAAATGCAGCGGCTGGGTTCAATCCCTGGCATGCTGTGCAGGCCCAGATGGGGCACGCTGAGACAGTGATTGAGTCTGGGCATGGTGGTACGCATCTGTAATCCTGTAGACCCTGTACTAAATACATTTTAAAAAATGAAAAAAGAGAAATTTCCCTGTCCCAGGCCAAAAGTCAATCATTTTTCCAAAAAGCTGGGTTTCCTTTAGTGGGAAATGGTTTTAGAACCTGAACTCTGGATGCTGGATGTGTTCATTGCTACAAAGTCTCCAGATTTTCTTGGGTTTCTTTGTAAATTCATTGCAATACCTTTGGCTTCAATCCCACAGACCAGAACCAGGTGTTCTTCCTTTCCTCTCTCCCATGTTTGTTTCACCCTAGTCTAGTATTGATTACCTGGCTTCTAAAAATGTTGACCTTCCTTGCTCAAATACTCATTTTACCTTTGTTAGACTACTCTTTGCAGATTCTCCCCAGTCTGTAACCTGTTTCTTCTTTCATTGACTTGTCCTTCTCACTGGCCTTTAAATACTGCACAGTCATCTCAATAAGTCCTTTTCTCTCTTCCCTCTCCTGTGTATGTGGTGCAGTTTGTGAGTCCCTTACTCATCTGTAAGCAGGCAATTCACAAGTTAACAACTCTAGTCTTGGCCTCTTCACTAAAGTACAGACCCATTGATAATTTGGCACCTCCATATAGATGTTAAATTTAGTATTTCTTGATTTTCTATTTTATTCACACATCTGTTCCATTTTCATTTTTCAGGAAAAGGTAACACTGTCCACCGAGCTTTTGAAATGAAAGCAGGTTATTCGCCCTTTTTATTTTTTCTCCTCACTACTTTCACTACTCTTTAAGTATTATGAATGCTTCCTCCAGAATGTACCTCAGGTTTTCCACTTTTTCCCATCTCCACTGATATCTCCTAAGTCTAAGTCACTAGCTTCCTTGCCTGAATTCAAACAATAACTTCCCACATGGCTAGTAGCTTCAAAATCCACAGCCCTAATCTGGGCATGGTGACACACACCTATAATCCTAGCACTTCAAAGACTGAGGTAAGAGAACTGGCATGTTGAAGCCCAGTCTGGGCAACTTATCAAATTAGCAAGACCTTGTGTCAAAACTTAGAAAAAAATAATAAAAAGCCTGGGGATATAATTCAGTGTGTAGGCCTGGATTCAATCATGGTACTGAAAAAAAATCCAAATCATTAACTTAAGACTTAATGAAACCTTCCACAATCTTCTTCTTTCTCCAAGCCCATCCCATACCTGTCTTGTTCTTATCCTGGCCAGTTGTGATGTTTTTAAAAGCTTTCTCTTTTTCCCTGATCCACTTCATACTGGATCTTTGCACTTGCTCCTTCTTTGCTTGCAATCTTTCTCTAGTTCATCTCATCTTGTAAATGACCCACTCTCATTTTTCAGGCTTCATCAACCCATCCGTGATTGCCCTTTCTGAAATTGCTTCAACACATCATTCCATTTTTTTAAAAATTTGAAAACATATTTTATTTATTTGGTACAGGGTCTCACTACACAGCTCAGACTCATGGTGGCCCTCCTGTCTCAGCCTCCCCAGTGCTGGGACTACATGTGTGCACCACATGCCCAATTCTGTTGGCCAGCATGGTACATCTGGGCTTCTGGGGCAGGCACAGCATACAGTACCAGGGATCGAACCTGGATCCTTGTGCTTGCTAGGCAGGTGCTTAGAATGCTGAGCTATCTCCCCAGCCACATCATTCCATTTTATTCACAGCTCTTAGCTCACTCTGAGCTCATTGTGCTTCTTTGTATGTTTACCAGTTGTCTTCTTTACTCAAAAGTAATCTCTTTAAAGGCAGAAATAAGAACCTTCTTGTCCTATTTGTCCTTGTGTCCTCAATGCCTGCTTCCCATAATGCATGACCCATCATGACCACTCAAGGAATGTGTGGAATAAATGGATCAGGAGAAGGGTTGGGGAGATAGCTCAGTGGAATAAGCGCTTCCCTGGGAAGTGCAAGGGCCTGAGTTCAATCCCCAGTTCCACAAAAACAAACAAAAAAACCCAGGAGAGAATGGTTAGCACTGGACAGTATCACACTATGATCTCAAACAGTCCATACTAGATGTGAACATGAAAGTGAGTTAATGTCCGACACTATCAGATATCTAAATCATCTAAATAGTTTTCCATAATTCTGACTCTAATATTTATGATCATAGTTTAATTTCCATGTAGGTTGTACAGGAAATGAATGCAATGAGGCATTGGTGCCTCTGGTGCTTTTACTTTACATCTGAGGTTGATAAGTTGGCATTCTTATTCTATCATTAATCTTGCTTCCTTGGTTATGTAAGAGACATTAATAGGCCATATCATACAGGAATTCTGAGGTCACTTTACAGACTTTATAATAGAAATCCCCCAAACTCCAGGCTAAAGTTGAGATGTGATCTGATTCACATTTGGAAATAAAATATTATTTTGACTCTCATCCTAAAAATGGTCTCTAAGGTGGCGACCTAGCCCGGCGGTCTCCACGCCGGGCTCTAGAGCGCGAGGTCGCCGGTTCGCGACCCTGTCCCGACTCTTTTGGGACTGGGCAGATGGCTCAGTAGAATAAGCTCTTCCCTGGTGAGCTCAAGGGTCTGAGTTCAATCCCCAGTTCTGCCAAAAAAAAAAAAAAAGTCTCTAAGTAGTCACATGTAGAAGAAACAATCCCAGTGACACAGTAAATTTCAAGGCTCACCTGGGCTCTGTAGGCAGACTTCCTCAAAAACCAAACTAAACTGAACTGAACTGAACTGAACAAGAGTAAACCAAACCAAACCAAACCAACAAGGGTGGCCAAGTAGGAGGCTCTGCAGTAATCTGGAAGAGAGGTAGTAGAGGTTTGGTCATAGTGTTCATTGTGCAGACTGGCTTCTGGGAAGTGTAGAATCACATTTTGAAGGTAGAACCAATGGGATATTCTACAAGTGGGTGCTTAATGTGAGAGAAAGAGAAGTCAAGGACAACTCCAGAATTTTGGTTTGAGTGAATGGAAGGATGAAGTTCCATTCTCCTGAGATCCTGTGAAAGGAGCAGGTTTGGAGTGAGATATCAGAATTAACAGATAAAGTTGAAACCTAATCATTGACATGAAGGCTTCAGGAGGTGGGGCCTTTGGGAGGGGTGAGTGACCTCATAAAGGAGCCTCAGAGTTGCTCATCATTTCCTTATGTGAGGACACAGTGAGAAGGGATCATTTAAGAACTATGAGATGGGTCCTCACCATCACTGAATTTTTTGGCACCTTGATCTTGGACTTGCTGGCCTCTAGCACTATGAGAAAAATTGCTATGGTTTTTGGTTGTCAGTTTTTGAGAGGATCTTGCTGTGTAGTACAGGCTGGCCTTAAGATCACTATAGCCCAGGCTAACCTTGAACTCATGGCGATCCCCCTGAATCAGCCTCCTGAGTGCTCGGGTTATAGGCATGCACTGCCATTCCTGATCTTCTATGATTTTCAAGCCACCTAGTTTAAGGTATTTTCTTAAAGGTATTTTGTTATAGCAGCCTGAAAAGACCAAGATGCATCTCAAATGATGCTGATAAGAAAGCATGAAGACTGAATTAGTCCGTTTTCTGTAGTATAACTAGATACCTAAGGATTGTAGTTTATAAGGAAAAGATATTTAGTGCACAGTTTTGGAGGCTGAAAGTCCAAATAGGATGGTGCCAACTCGAGATTTTCACTGGCTGCATCACATCCTGCAGATACCAGGATGGAGAAGCCTGTGCAAGAGGGACCAATCGAGGGACTGATCACATGGTAAGACAGGAAGCTAGAGTGGAAGAACCAATTTTGCTCTTTTTATAATAGCTCTCTGGAGAGAACTCAGTTCCAGGAGAATGCCCTCTACCCTTTCTGGGGACAGCACCTCCCAACTGATCTCTCCATGGTTTCTGCCTATTAAAAAGCTCATCACCTCTTTACATGGCCACTCTGAGGAAAGAGCCTCCAACCCATGAGTCTTTGGGGAAAAAGCCACATTCAAATTATAGCAAAGACTCAGAGCTCTTCCTAAAGGCTTTTGTAAACATGGAGCTAGTTCTGGGTGTAAAGGAAGAATCTATTCAGCATTGCTTGCCTATGACTCTTGCAAGTTGTTCTAGAGCAAGGCACGCCAGGATGTAGGGCCTCCTTCCTGAAGCAGGAGGAACACCTACAAGGAGGGAGGAGGAGACTGTGTGTACTCCACAAAACCCTTTGTTATGGCCTCTGCAAAAATTACTTTCTTTGTGCTAGAGAAATTAGAGACTTGTGATTAGGTATCTCTCTGTGGGCTCAAAATTTCTGCCCAGAAAATATTAATATGTGAGGCACAGCAGCTGCTCACTGTTGGGAGGTTTAGCAGTTTGCTTCCAGAAGCTCAGCTGCAGGTCTGGGTAACCTTTCTTTGTCCTCTGCTTTCAGCTTTGAGCTGGGAGCATCTCAGCATTAAGGCTAGTTATAGAGCAAACCAAAGTTCCATATAACACTACTTCACACTTGTGCCTGTAGGGAGTAGAGAGAAGAAAAATCTTTTTATTTTCTATTTCCATGAGCCCATAATTTCCATTTCCATGAACTGAAGGAAGGAGCAATGATTTGGTCAAGAGAGAAAAGATGGCTCCACCATGTCAGACCTGAGAAGGCTTTCATGTGATGGAGTTTGTGGGCACTCCAGGCAGGGCACATGCTGCCTGCAAAAGCAAGGAAGTGGCAGACCTGGAATTTACAAGTCATGGGTATACTGGTGGGACTGGTGTTAGGATTTTTTACAATAATATAATTTATTGATAAGCCGGGAAAAGAATCCTGTGTTCAGAAAATAAAATGCAGGTGAAAAGTATTTTGAGTGTAGGGATGGCGAGATAGATTAGCAAACTAAGCACCTGCTTAGGCAAGTGCAGGGATCAGGGTTCAATCCCTGGTACTACCTGCCACAGTCCCACACCTGGACACGCTGAGTCTGTGACCGTACCTATAACCCCAGTGCTGGGGAGGCTGAAAACAGGAGGATCACTATGAGTCTGAGCTGCACAGTGAGATCCTGTACCAAATAGATTTTTTTTTTTAAAAAAAGAAAACTATCTGGAGTATGAATTTGGGTAACATGAAATATGGTGGCTGACCTAGAAGGTAACTGCCCATCTCCCAGGGCAGGGGTTGCCAAAATGTGTACCCCCCCAGCCCAGCAGGAGAAGCATTTTCTTTTTTTTTTCCCCATAATTTTGTTGATAAACAAATAGCAATGAGACAGTTTCAAATCAAATTGGTAGGACAGTTTCAATAATTGACACAAAACCTTTTTTTTTTTTTTTTTTTTTTTTTTTTGGTGGAACCCGGGATTGAACTCAGGCCCTTGTGCTTACCAGGGAAGCGCTTATTCTACTGAGCCATCTCCCTGGCACTAAAATGTTTAGATATTTTTTTTTTTTTTTGGTGGAACCGGGGATCGAACTCAGGGCCTTGCACTTGCCAGACAAGCGCTTATTCTACTGAGCTATCTCCCCAGCCCTAGGAGAAGCATTTTCTGGCAACATTCAGAAATGCAACTTCTACCTATTGAGAATTTGCATTCAATCTATTGAGTCATAAATTCCAGCTATTTTAAACTTCACAATCTGTTTAAACAGATGATTGTGAGTCATAATAATGTCAAAAAGCCACTGGTCAGGGATTGAAGAAGACTGATGATGCTCACTAAATAGAAATGACAGGAATATTAAAATATAAACCAATGCTGGTCTTAAATCTGGTTGAAAAAATTGTTTAAATTATCCAAATATATTTATTAATTCCCCTAAAACAAATAACCAAAAAATTTCTCTATTAAGTTATACAGATATTGGTAATACATATGTATGTGTGTGTGTGTGTGTGTGTGTGTGTGTATACACACCCACACGTACACTCATATATGTATACATTCAGTAAAACTTTAGATTACAACTAACTTCTGTAAACATTGTGCAAGATGAGAAAATATTTCTTTTCTTTCTTTCTTTTTTTTTTTTTTTCTGTGTTTAGGCCAGAGTCTACAGGGTCTACAGGGTGTTCAGGGTCTCACTACGTAGATTAGACTCATAGTGATTCTCCTGTTTACAGTCTCTCAAGTTCTGGGATTACAGACATGTTGCCACCATACCCAGTAAGATGAGCAAATATTTCTAAGAAATATTAACTTAACAAATGATCAATGTCTTGCAATATGAGTAACACATGACCCTGAACATCATATAATCACAACTGAGACAATGATTCATTCTTTCTTTCTCTCCTCTCTCTCTTTCTTTCTTTCAAACACACACACAAACATACACAC